TCCTCTGTATTCTTTATGCTCTCCCTCAGTTCGTTATGCAGACACCTCTCACTGTTTTACTCTTCCAACACCACATCCCCCCTCTATTTCTCAATCACAGAGAAGGGAAATCGAAACGTAATTATAAGGAAACAAATATTTCACACGCTCCCGTCTATCTAAAGCAAATTAGTTTTAGGTATAGGCTCATATAGGTATATGTTCAAAATGATGGCGCTCTTCAACAAAAGTAAATCTCAGATGATTGACCTTTTTTCTGTAAATTGTATACACTTAAGAAAGGTATAAAACACAATTCTACATACTGCTAAATATCTAGGGACAGGTAGACTTGTTGTGTGTGTTTTTTCAAGTGACTTGCGTCAATAAAATGAGTGATTTTATGGAGAAATAATCTTTTAAACAGAATGAAGTAATTAAGACAAAAGAGGAACACAAAACAAGAACAAATAGACTAGTCTATGTGGGTTATTTTGGAGTTTGCAAAACAAAAAATGAATTTGACATATTAATAGTCTAAAATAAACATCGTGTTAACTTTTTGAACTACGCCAAAGCTGTGGTGCTTTGCCTTTATTATTGTCGTTGTTTTTGTTGTTGCTGCTAATGCTGATGCGTCTACTGTTGGTGCTGGTTATTGCTACTGCGATAACACCTAGTTTCCTTCAAACCTTTGGGCTTATTAACATGCAAGCCTAGATGCGTATTATGGTATTACTTCTATGAAACCACACAAGTGATTATTAATCAAAAATAATATTTTCATCTCCTCAAATTTTATGCAGGTTTGTTAATTTTCTCTTTCTGTCTTCATACGTTCTTCATATATGAACAAGTATACATTTTTGGTTAAAACCTAAGTCACACTAGGTGTACAGCCGGTTGCCAACTTCTGACCAATAGGGACTTTTAGATTCGCAGGAAGGCAATAGGTCTATGCTACGATCGACGTTCTTTAATGCACTGCCTTGAATGGACGTCACATGTATCAGTCCACGCAAATCTAAAAGTCCCTAATAATTGGCAGTTGACCGCTGACTGATCGATGATAAGATACAACTGCTCGGAGTTCAAACGCCGATGTACCTTCAACGGGGAAGGAGCATAACCACTGGCGCAAACACGCACAATAAAATTAAATATCTTGCTTATTATTTTCATTTCCTGCCCTACAACTGATCACCCAATAAACATTTTTGCAAATTCGTTGATGACGGTCTCCGCATTTGTTCGTTGTCAAAAGTAGGCAACCGGTCGTACACCTAGTGTGACTTAGGCATTAGGCTAGCCGATTAAAATGCTCCGGAGATAAAATGCCGACCATTGAGAAACATTTAAAGACTGCTAAAAATCTCTTTGCGACCTCCCTCCTGTCCAGCCTTTTCCGTAGCAGTCCGAACCAATGCAGGTCCAGCTGGACTAGAATGGCCAATCCATGATCTCCAGAGGACCCCTTTCTCTTTGTTTTTCTACAGGCAGTTTCTTGTCACTACCTTGGGGAAGGTGTGGGGTCGTTTTCCTGCTGGAAGACAAACTAGTCCCCAATCAGACGTTTTCCTGAAGGGATGACGGTCTGCTGTAGGATGGAGTGGCAGCCATGCGTGTCGAGTATACCCTTCTGTTAATGCAAAATGCCAACCTTCCCTGGACTGAAACAATCCCTACCAAGGGAAATGATTTATAAGAGCTGCTATGGGATGATTATTTGTGGGAGATTCTTCGGAAAGTACCAAAAAAAGCATTTCCAGTGACGTCCTCCACACATTGACCAGATCTGTTACTACGGTGTACAGTGCTGTGTTCGCTACCAGGGGACAGCTGTTTGATAAGAAGTATCTATGATTCGAAGCATGGATATTAAACCAGAAAAGTCTTGAAAAATATAGAAATCTGCATCTCATGACATACCTATTCATTTAGTCATTCTTTCCCTTGCAACAATTTCACTAAAGCAAAGAACTATCCCCAGACTGTGACATCCCATGAATCGGAATGAAATGAACAAATCACTACGGGGTTCCAAAAATGTTTATGTGCGTTTTACATGAAAATACTAGTTTACTGTATTTCTTGAGTTAAGGGATGCTTATAATTTTTATTAAATAAATTTTGAGTATTCATCAGTACATGCAAGGAGAAAATTTGGTAGAATGCGAAAAAGCAAGGATGCTAGCACGATTGACCAAACCAGTAACCACCTCCTCATGTTGTGAATGGTCTGTGGGGGTACGTTTCTTTTTAAAACACATAACCACCTTTTGAAATGCTTAGCAAATATTTAACGGGTGTCAATATGAATGCTCATGTCAACTCTTCAATTTGATACAAAAAATAAGTTCTGATTTCAGGTGTACCCACATTTTTTAAGGGAAGTGATTAATATAGTGCAGTCAATCAATCAATTCATCAATAATGGCTTGTATGCTTTATCAATCAATAATAATGAAAACAAATATACATATCTTTTAATCAGCGTAGTGCATACGTCTTTTTATTGGATTGGGCTTTAGACAGAAGATATACTTTCTTGGATAATTATTATGTTCTGCAATATATACGAATTAAAATTGTAAAATTCACCATTATCATCATATCACGGAATTCAAATAGCAAACCTCCATATTTTGTGAGGATTTATATGTTTTATTAAATCTGAAACTAGAAGAGTATAACAAATTGAAAATTGTTTGAAATAAAAACGCACCAAAACAACTTCACAATATTTACACAAAGTCAATTAGATGGGAGTTGCTTCTCCCCACGTCAGTAATGCCCCTCTGTAGAAAATAATTTCATTTTTGTATCGTTATAATTATTTCCAAACAGTCGACTGTTTATGAAACATAGACATGTTCATTGATTTATGTGCAGCAATTAGTACTTTAGGCAACAACTGGACAAAATATGATAATTTCTTTTTAATTTATCTTCTTCTTCTTCTTCTTCTTCCTCTTCTTCTTCTTTTCTTTCCTTTTCTTTCCCCTTCCTCTGTCTCTCTGTTTCTCCTTTTCTTCTCTCCCTATCTCTTCTTGTCTTGTTAATACCTTCTTTTCCCCCTTTTTCATCAATCGCTCTCTCTCTCTTTTCCCCTTTTCCCTATTATTTTGCCCCTGTATCCGTCACTGCAATGCATGCGATATATTAATATCTATTACAAAGCAGATAGAGAGAAGAAAACGTAATTTTATAGAAACCTTACTGTTATATAAGTAAGCTGATTTTGTTTCCCCCACATAACTCTAATCAATTCTTATCCACTGTTAGTACCACAATAAAGGAGTTTCATGATAAATGGTTGTTCATGCTGCGTAACTTTTGAAATGATGAAGTTGAAGTTATGATGATACTTTCTCCCTACTCAATCATACTCGTAGGGCATAAGAATGAAATGAAGAGGGCAGATAATATAGTGAAACTCCTGTCGCCGTCTTGAATATGTAACGCCTTCTCAAATATTTGTTTTTAAACATACATTATTTACAAGCTTAGAAATGGTATCACCCGACCTTTTAAGAGTCAAGTCAATCATGAAGAATGCACTACAATTATACGACAATCATAACTTATAATAACAAGTACAAAGCAATTACCGTATACATTTAAAATTTTAACCTTCATCTACATGGTATAATGAAATAAGTTTTGATGAGAAATATTCAGTTTAGAGTCGCACAGAGAAACAAGATTAACGACTCTGCTATTGTGTTATAAAGAGCTTGTCTTCTTGAGAGGATCGCCGTTTCTAAATTACAATATTTTAACATTCGTATACATTTTAAGTAAAATTATTTGTTTGATAATAATACATTATCGATAATAATGTTTTTCAGTTGACATTAATCCAAGCCTTTTCAACAATTCTTGATGATCTGCATAGAATTTTGTTGATTATATAATGTGTAATGGAGGTTAAAAACAACATAAAAATATTGATGCGTTATTCATGGAGTCTAAGAAAAACAGTATTCTTTTTAGGTGAGGAATAAACTTTATTGGAGATATAACATGGATGTATGCGACGGTTTAGGAGTATGCAGGAGGCTTAACAGGGGTGAAATGAATTATTCATTTACCCAGGTTTGAAAGAATTGTCATATTTTTACACTAGATCCATCTTACAATTACATTAGATTAAAATAATTGTCACAACAAATGAATTTTCTTATAATGACCCTTGTGGAACATCATTAATGTATGAGTATGACTACAACATGATTATCCGAATACCTTTTATACATGTACCCTAATGGTAAGAAATGTAACTATACATATAACATGAAATACGTAAACAAGTCTGCAAGTTATAACAACGACAAAAAGATAATGTGCAAAGATTATTTCAGCCTACAATTAAATAAAGCAGCATTAATAGTCTTACAAAAACAGCAGCTTTTATACTTTAACCGTCCCGAAAAAAGACAACAGTAAAGCCTCGTTCAGATATGCCCCGGCAAAACCAAACCGATTTGTTTGTTGTCGTCATGACGTAAATTACAATGCCCGATAACTTTGTCTTAGATCCTTTAAAAAAAATCCTTGATTTAGCTCATGCTGCAATGATAATTATGAACTTTAGGTCAGTCAGGAACCCCATGACTTTTAGAAGCCGATCGCCTTTCTGATTATCAAGATATTTATGATTGAAATCGAAATCAAATTTTGCGTTTGCCAAACGGTTTTCATAACACTACGGTCTATTGAGGAAAACGAGTATAGTAAAACCGGTCACTCAAAGGTCTTTACTTTTTTGAGGCACTTCTTGATCATTTTAAAGGGCGATTTTTGTTGTTGTGGCTTCAATATAACACCCTATCACAGACACTGATAACACGTAGGGCCGTAGGGCATCTCAGATTTAACATTGTTAAACGATCCCTTTAAAAGAACCCGTGGTGTTTGTGTCGTTATTTATTTATTTATTTATTTTATATATATATATATATATATATATATATATATATATATATATATATATTCTTTCTTCTTTTTTTTGGGGGGGAGGGGGGGGGGGTCTGCGGCTTTGCCCTATATCTGAACAAGCCCTAATGATCATATCAATGAGGCTTGATACGGTTAGTCTGTCTTATCACCCCATGGTGCATCATGGCCCTTCATCTCCTCATTCCTAGCCGATGATGCCGGGGAAGGTGTGCCCTGACGGCGACAAACAACCACGAAGAGTAGGATGATGACGAGGAGACCGAGAACGCCCACGACTATGGCTAAAGCAATAACAGTAGAAAGTGGGAACTGTACCATGTCTGATGGTGGTGATGGTGGTGGTGGTCGTGTAGGTCTTGGTGCTGGTGATGATGGCGATGTCGAGTTGGAAGGTTTGAAGGTACGACACGTCGGGAAGTCGTCGGGTATCGGTGGAAGATCGGACTGTGATCCCACACGGACAACGATAGCCAAACCGGTCTGCGGTGTTTAACAAAAATTGACAAACGGATAAACCAATGTATATTGAATAAAGATTATTATAGGAACGTCTTACATTTTCTATAGGGTATCAAAGTGCGACGTTATATGGGCCAAGTCGTGTGCTAAACAACGGCGTTGTGGTCACATCAGCGCAACACATTGAATTTGCCCTGCCCCAGCCCCTTGCTTGAATTATGTCGCGGTAAACTTCAAGCGCATGCTCTGTTGTTTGGAACTAGCAAATATGACATTAGCACGTTGGTACTCTATAGAAGGCACTTGAGTGCTCAAATACTCATCATTTTATTGTGATTCGCTTCAACCCATATCAATATCAATATGCAGTTTTCATGATTGTAGTCCGAATTTCTTTCATTTGAATTCATGTTCGGACTACGGAATATGCCATTATCATTTTTGCAGATTTCAATTGCAGACGCAAAAAATGATATAATAGCAGATATTTCCACTGTAGGGATTTATCTTTAAATTCCTTCGCATTTGAATTATGACGAGAAAATACGTGAAAGAATCGCACCGAGCTCTCATGATAAGCCTTAGCTTGTGTATGCTTGTAAGTAAGCAACCAGTGGATCGATGGCTTTAAAACCTCACCGAGTGACTTGGTAATGAGGATTAATGCCTTACCAGAGGGCACTACATCATATCATCTTGGTTTCTAATCCGGGACCTCTCGGTAACGAGACCACTGATCTACCACTGAGCCATTGTGCCTCCCTTTTACAATATAATGCCATACCCAGTACTCAGATTCATCTTTCATTAATGGGCCCGTTTCATAAAACTTGTTATCTATAACAAATGCTAAATTTCTATGACAAATTTGCTCTCAGCCAATCAGATGCCATGATTTCAGTAGCTTATAATAGTAGCCTGTAACTTGTTATTGATATCAAGTTTTATGAAACGTGGCCCTGTATCTACTTTTCTTGACGGACTTACATGAAGGTGGAACTCGTTGTGACAATGGAAGAACCACCAACCAGGGTTATCTGCAACGAACTGGATGACGGTGTACCCAGCATTCATTGTGATCACCGTATCTTTCTCTGGTGGATTATTGAAGTTCCTCTTGATGGTTCCATCTAGGGATGGGAAATATGCAATAATATCCAATCCTATCCAATCCGATCCGATCCAATCCAGTCCAATCCAATCCAATCCAACCCAACCCAACCCAACCGAATCCAATCCAATCCAATCCAACCCAACCCAACCCAATCCAATCCAATCCAACCCAACCCAACCCAACCCAATCCAATCCAATCCAATCCGATCCAATCCAATCCAATCCAATCCAATCCAATCTAATCCAATCTAATTCAGTCCAATCCAATCCAATCCAATCCAATCCAATCCAGTCCAATCCAATCCAATCCAATCCAATCAAGGTATTTATAAAGCGCCAATATCTAGTTGCCTAATCAAAGGCGCTGATGAGACTGAAAAACACCCAAAATGCCTGTTTATTTCTGTTTTATAATGTCAAAATACTTTTTGTGTGATAATACAACGTATATCACGGGACTTATGTATTTGCGTGCATGCAAAAAAACATGTCACTCTTTTGATTATGACTACTCTATGTGATCTCTTTTTATTTTCTTGTTTATTTGCAGGCAGCACAAACTTGCCTTTTCACAAAATACTCTTTAAGTTATTCGCGCTTGTATACAGTGTTCTTTTTCCCCGCATTCTAGTGTAGTCCCTTTTTCTTCTGAATTGCCCATGCACTACAGTAACCTTATCTTTTTTCTACTTCTTATTTTCATGTTTAAGCTACTCTTTCCTCTGATATTTTTGTACATCAAGGTTCATTGCTTGTACCCAGTATGCAACTAGCGTACAATGCCAGCAGTCAATGTGTACATTTCCACTGCACCTGTTCACTTCGCTGAAATATGTGTTTTGTTATGTACTTTTCATCTTTGACCGTGGATGTGTGTTTCCCCACACACTGTAACTTACTCTCAATTTGCATATTCCAGGGATATGAGTACAATTCATTCCTCCCAATCCATTCTATGTTGGCTCAATGTTGATTATTTAGTTACAGCCTTATTTATATGAACACGTTTTGGTTGACAGAATGCTACTCATGTCTGATAGCTATATAAAAAAAAAAAACACAAAACATGTATTTATTGTCTGTCTGCAGTTGTGCTCTGGTTAATCTATCTAACAGTAAGTTAAAAACCACTGCTTTGACTCGATTACTCTTATACAACAATATGTATTAATTATGTATAAATATTGAGCTTGTTTACTCACTTTGAACGTATTGAGAAATTTCCCTCGTGATATCGTTTGTTTAGTGGTTATGGCACTAGATGATTGTGTTTATGCTGTGTACATACAAGATACTATAATTGTTTCTATAGCGCATAGATTAAAATCTTGCGTTTATTCTTTTTTTTGGTGGTGGCCAGATAAGCCCCACAAGGCTCCGTAAACTATTTCTCATGTTTGCCTCAAGCTATCATATGTTAAGTGTTTGGGACCTGGGTGTGGTCCTTAGTGAGAGGCGTTGTTGCTCTCTCTGCATGTTTGTCTGTTTCTCTGTCTTGCTTTTTTTGTTTGTCTGTGTTGCTTGTTGTCGTTTACTGTTACTCGTACACTGTAAATGTTACAAATTCCTCCAATGGCCTTATATGTATAAAGTAGTTATTGGTTATCATGATGTATAATAAGTTGAAGATTATTTCTATGAACTGTAGAGGTCTGGGAAACTCTCATAAAAGAAAAGATGTACTAAACTATTTAAATGCAAAACATGCTAGCATTTGTTGTTTGCAAGATACCCACTTTGTGCCTGAGATAGAATCTGTTGTTAAGCAAGAATGGGATGGAACTTGTTTTTTTGCAAACAAATGCTCAAACGCTCGGGGGTGGCGATACTCTTTGACGTAAATATTCAATGCGAAGTTAAAAAAACAAATATGTGACAAAAATGGTAATTTCATTGCTTTAAGCATTTGTATGGGACAGTTGGAGTTTTCTTTAATTGCACTTTATGCCCCAAATGATGACTGTCCCATCTTTTTCCAAGAATTGGAGAATATTATATTAGATCTTAATGATCCTCTTGTAATTATGTGTGGGGATTGGAACCTACTTCAAGATTTTGATTCGGACTCTTGTAATTACGTTAGATTAAATAATAAAAATGCTCAGCGCAAAGTTTTGGAAATGAAGAACAGTTTTCATTTAATTGATCCATGGCGCTGTACCCATCCAGACATAAAACAGTTTACCTGGAGACAACCTAGTCCTTTAAAACAAGGGCGACTAGATTACTTTTTGATATCAAACCAGCTATTTTCGTTAGTATCAGATTGTAAAATTAATAATAGCTATAGATCTGATCATGCAGGGATTAGTTTGGATCTTATGTTCGGTACTGGTCTAAAGAGACACAAATATTGGAAGTTTGACAATTCTCTCTTAAAGGAAGATCAATATGTACAAACTGTAAAGTAACGTGACCAAATTGATTTGGAGTCGTTTGACTGACTGGTTAACTATTGTAACACGCTGTAGAATAAAACTGTCCTTAATACATGTTTTGTTAGGTTTCATTGAAAAAAGAAATGATGCTTTAAACTGTATAATAATTTGGACTAAACAACAATTATATTTTTCTCGAATACAAAAGTCTGTACCGTCCTTTCGGACAATAAAACAATATATCAAGAATAGTTACACAAATGAGAGGCAAGTTAGTATATTTGCTAACAAAACTGACAAATTCGATAAAAAAATGGATAAATTTTGAGAGGATTTTGATCCTTTAATAGGAGTATATTGAATTTCCCATATCATTTTCAGTCATGATGTTGCATTATTATTTAATTTTTGTTTATCCTTCCCTTATCTACATGTATGTTCTGTATATACAGTATTATGGTTGATATTCGTTATGTATATCTTATTATGAAATATTGTATGATATTCATTGGAACATGTGTTCAAATATGTTATCTTGAGATTGATTTTCAATAAATGGCCTGTTGGAGGGTCCAAAAAATGGGGGGAAAAAAATGCCTGTTCATGATTCTAACTGGGAAAGACAATACTGAAAGATGTTTAAAATCGAATGCTGTGGAATATATTTGGTTTTCAACTTCACTTGAAGCGAATTTTAAGGCATCCCATTCCCTTGTGAATCTTTTTTCTGAATTATTGTTATTCTCCTTTACAAAAAATTGTATTTACGAAATACTTTCAAATGAAGAGCTGAAGGAATCGAGGACCAATACTTTCCAACCATTGTCGCGTATTTAAACTCTGCATGTATATCATAGAAATATTAACACTGTAAATTCCCATGGTTACCCCCCCCCCCCCCCCCCATGACAATAACAAAAATCACCAAAACTATTCTAGAGCCATTACTGAAAATGTAGTACTATGGATCGCAATACTCCCAAGGCCTTTCGTTTAAATGGACATCCAAGGACCCCGTCGTAGTTTCCTATTTTAAGTTTCAAAAACTGCACCCGATTTTAACAAAGACCCACTAAAAACGAGGAGATTCACAGGAGACATAAACAAGAGGGGATTAAAGTTTTAAACTACTAGGCGAGGAAGGAAATGTTGCAACTACTGGTTAGCGAAACATCGAAGATAGATATCATCCTTCGAGTAAGAACTTCCCCTCGTACCCCCTCCAACCTCCCCCCCCCCCCCCGGGAGCTAGTAGTTCTCGCATTAACCGTACAATCGTTGGCTTTTAAACCTTCTAGTTTCAAATCCACTAGTATGTTTACACGGTCCTGTATTACAAGATACCCTCGAGGTTTACAACCATAAACTGAACTTAAAACGTATATGCTCTCGTGTGAACCTAGACTGACATTGAATCATCCCCTACTGTATACGTACTCAGATCCATTGCAATTACTTCGGTGACGTCAAGATTGTCTCCGCCGTACCCCTGAGCGAGGACGCGGAATGAGAACCCGTGGAGATGAAAGGGGTGTACAGCCGGATAAAGGTTACCCTCGTCTACTATAACGATCTCAATCGTCTGGAATGTAACGTGGGAAGAAGAAGTGAAAGAAGATTAGAAAGGTAGAAGAAGAAAAAGAAGAAAGAAGGTAAAATGGAAGAGAATAAATATCGGAAATGGGAGGAAGAGGAGAAGAGGGAAAAAGATGAAAGATTCAAAAGAAGGAACAGAAGATTACATGAGGAAAGAACACATTTAATCGTAAAAAATGGTTGAGGAAGATAAGGAAGGAGAATCCGTGAACAGACGTAGAAGAAAGAAGGGATTGAGAGGAGAGATGGAGAAGGAGAAGAAGAGAAAGACGTAGAAATAGACTCATGTTGTTGTTGTTGTTGTTGTTGATGTTGTTGTTAGTGGCTTATTACTATTATTTTCATTATATTATTTTTTATTATTACCATACATATTTTTTTGTATTGTTGTTTTCATTATCATTACTATTATTATTAATTTCATAATCATAATTATTACTATCAATATCGTTAATATAATGATTGTATTTATATCATCATTATTGTTATCAATGCTATCATTTATATTAATATTATCAATATTATCATCATTATAATGAGTATTCATATCTACCTGATGCAAATCAACCTGAAGGACTTGGGTACAGCGACAGAACTCCGTTTTGCACTTCTGATTTAGCTCCTCATCTTCGAAAAAGCAGAGATCATCGGAGTCCGTTTCGTCGTTGTACTGGGAGAGTAGTGCGTAGCTTGGATGCTTAAAGGCGCGATCATTGACCAGCGGGTTGTATTCGTCTTCCCAATAACGTAAATCAGCAAACTGTGAGGAAGTGTAGATTGCGAAAGTAATTAGGACAATGCAGTTCAAAACTTCAACATTAATATTTAACTTGAGATGAGCGAACGTATTCTTGGATGCAAGAATTGTTTTTAGACCGAGGAGTTGACAACAAAAGGTAACATGAAACCTAAATAGAGGTTGGCAAACGAGTTAAAGTTCTGTTTAAGCATGCACAATAGACAGATGACTGTGGAGCGATTGGGAATATAAGGACAAGACCGGCAAGAGGACGGATATTGAATAGTATGAAGGGTGTCGAATGATAATAATTGACGGGTGACGAAGGTACAGAAGTGAAATGTAAAGAAGGGGTGGACGAGAAGGGTGAAGAAAGAGTGGAGAAGAAGATTGGAGGAGGTGTATAACAAAATGGTAACGAAGTAGTAGAAGGAAAGGGTGACGAAGGAGTAGAAGAGAAGGGTGACGAAGGAGTAGACAAGAAGGATGACGAAGGAGTAATCAAGAAGGATGACGAAGTAGTAGAAGGGAAGGGTGACGAAGGGGTAGAAGAGAAGGGTGACGAAGGAGTAGAAGGGAAGGGTGACGAAGGAGTAGAAGAGAAGGGTGACGAAGGAGTAGAAGGGAAGGGTGACGAAGGAGTAGAAGAGAAGGGTGACGAAGGAGTAGAAGGGAAGGGTGACGAAGATACAGAAGTGAAATGTAAAGAAGGGGTGGACGAGAAGGGTGAAGAAAGAGTGGAGGAGAAGAGTGGAGGAGGTGTATAACAAAAGGGTGACGAAGTAGTAGAAGGGAAGGGTGACGAAGGAGTATACAAGAAGGATGACGAAGTAGTAGAAGGGTAGGGTGACGAAGGAGTAGAAGAAAAGGGTGACGAAGGAGTAGAAGGGAAGGGTGACGAAGGAGTAGAAGAGAAGGGTGACGAAGGAGTAAAAGGGAAGGGTGACGAAGGAGTAGAAGAGAAGGGTGACGAAGGAGTAGAAGGGAAGGGTGACGGAGGAGTAGGCGAGAAGGGTGACGAAGGAGAAGAAGGGAAGGGTGACGAAGGAGTAGAAAGGAAGGGTTACGAAGGAGTAGAAGGGAAGGGTGACGAAGGAGAAAAATTGAAGGGTGACGAAGGAGTAGAAGGGAAGGGTGACGAAGGAGAAGAAGGGAAGGGTGACGAAGGAGTAGAAGGTAAGGGTGACGAAGGAGTAGAAGGGAAGGGTGACGAAGAAGTAGAAGGGAAGAGTGACGAAGGAGTAGAAGAGAAGGGTGACGAAGGAGTAGAAGGGAAGGGTGACGAAGGAGTAGAAGGGAAGGGTGACGAAGGAGTAGAAGAGAAGAGTGACGAAGGAGTAGAAGGGAAGCGTGACGAAGGAGTAGAAGGGAAGGGTGACGAAGGAGTAGAAGAGAAGGTTGACGAAAGAGTAGAAGGGAAGGGTGACGAAGGAGTAGAAGGGAAGGGTGACGAAGGAGTAGAATGAGAGGGTGACGAATGGGTAATAGGAGGGTGACGAAAGGGGTTGAAGAGAAGGGTGACGAATGAGTAGAATATGAGGGTGACGAATGAGAAGAAGAGAAGGGTGACGAATGAGTAGAATAGGAGGGCGACGAAAGGGGTAGAAGAGAAGGGTGACGAATGAGTACAATAGGAGGGTGACGAAGGATTAAAAGAGAAAGATGACTAATAAGTAGACTAGAAGGGTGACAAATGAGCAATAGAGAATGACGAAGGAGTAGAAGAGAAGGATGACGAATGAGTAGAATAGCAGAGTGACGAAGTAGTAAAAGAAAAGGGTGACGAATGAGTAGAAGAGAAATGTGAAGAAGTAATAGAATGAGAAGGAGATGAAGGAGTACAATAGAAGGGTGACGAAACAGTTGAAGAAAATGGTGACAAAGGAATAGAAGGTAGGGGTGACGAAGGAGGAGAAATGAACGATAAAAACAGAAGACTACCTCGAAAAACAAAGCAATGATAGAGGTTAACGTTGACAAAGATTCTAAAGTAAATACAAAATGATGAAACGTTAATTCCGATGTTGACGAAGGTAGAGCAAATGAATACAAAGGAGTACAAAGTGTCGGCAGAACAATGATTCAGATTGACGCCAAATATTACCTGACAATACAGTTAAAATTAACTTAATAGGCGATTCAGAACAAGGGGAGAACGATGAAAGAGTTAATTGTTGGCCAGTGGTTTCAAATGTGATGTAAAAGGAAACAACACTTTTAGTGATCAACAATTGAAGACCGCGTGAGACTTAAATGAAAAGAAGATGAAAGAGGAAATGACGACGAAGAAGCAAACATAGAGTTTAATGAAGAAAATGTCCACATTCTATCATTAGCAAGATTCTTTACTCTCATAGGTCACGCCTTACCTGATTGAAATCTGTAGTCATGTAGAAAGTACGCTTGTTTTCCTGCGGTAACGTTGCATTTTCTGCAAGTAAACATTATAAAGTAGCGTTGGACTTTACATTAGATTGCTATTAATTTTTTGGAAGCATCAACTAGGAATACCCAACTACAATTTGTAAAGGGCTTAAAGAACAATGGGTATACATTGTGTATAAATGAAAGATATTATACACAGGTACAATGCCTATATGTTCCATATTTATTTTGTTTTACACGTTTGCTTTATATACACATCTTTGCATCGAAAGACACCGAGTTTATATGAAAGGTTTATTTCTGTTTGATCAATGTTTCCTTCTAACCTACATTGCAATAACTCAGCAATGGAAGTAGCTCATTCCCGAAACGCATACCCATCTTAATGCCTGCTTGTTTAGCTTTAAATTAAAGACGGGTTAATTTTCCTCGATATACGGGCCCTTTTACCTATGGCAACCAATTCATTAACTGTGATGACGTCAGCTGAAGCAGGTGTATTCCATGCTTGGTATATGACCCCGTCTCGCACTCCAGATGGGCTCATGGTGGGGTTCGACTCGGGGGCACCGCTGTACCTAATGATTGCTAGACCCTGGTTTAGGGGTCTTCCTCGAGATTCACTAATCTTCATCCAATAGTTCCCTCCATCGGTTTGAGAGGCGTTGAGGACCACATCATATCTTTTTGGAAAGGGATACAACATGGTGTATATTGAAAAGATGGTCTACTATGACACAGAGGAGTCGCTAAAAGTGGTGTGCAACATCCCATTATTCTAGTTTTTATGTCAGCATGTCGGTAAATATTATTCGATACATCGTCCCTCCATAAATATATATCGATAATAATAATGATAATATTAATAATAAATAAATACATGAATAAATAATAAAATAAAAAAACCATAATGATAATACAGGCTAACTGTGTTAGTAACATCAATGCCTGCATGTCATTGTGATTCCAATAAAACAATACTAAGATATAAAAATCTATTATAGAAATATAGTATCTGCACTTTCCAGAGTTTAAGGAAAATCCTTTTTACAAAAACAATTACAAGGTGTTCGTAAAGATTAAAGATCACTACGAAAAAAGCTATGAATCTTTACACGTCGTTTCCCCTTTCCTATTTACAAAAAAATTGTATCCATCTCCTCCTTTGTTTTCAAAACAAAATTTCGTTTAGACCCGTGGTCTGATAGCTGAGGATTTAGAGAGTATAATTATATGGTTGTCTGCTACTTTGTACTTTGCTGTTACTATATACTTTACCTCTCTCCACCATATATGACAAGGGTATCCACTTCCACAGGTTGTACATATGCTCCATCGCTGGCTATGATGGTAAGGGTGTGGTTATCCACAGACACCCTGAAGGCTTCACCACCGGTTGCAGTGCTTATCAACCGGAAACGGTAACGCTTGCCCTGAATGAAAGCAAAAGAAACAAGATCAGGGGGAGTTTCACAAAGCATTCTTTCAGTGACAAATGCCCTAAATCAGTGACAAATCTGCTTACAACCAATCAGAAGCAAGGATTTCAGTAGCTTATAACAAAAACTGGCATTTGTCATTGATGACAAGTTTTAATCTCAAGATCGTTGTGAAGGTCATTCTTGAAAATTAATCATTTCTCGAGCCAATTTTCGAGGCCAATCTTATTTTCCAAATGTCAAACTTCATGTCGAAGTCAAGATCATTGTCAATGCGTATCAAAGAGAGCTGGAAACCTGGAGAACATTCTGGATTAAAGCAATGGCCTTGACCGAAGGATGACGAAGGAGTAGAAGTGGAGTTAGTGTATAAGTAACGCTGAATTTGTGAAGACGTTTTTAGACAGCAAGCGCCATTAGGGCGGAGCGTGGAATACTGTTGCTGTATCAAGAATACATCATAATCATCTTCGTCACCATTTCATCATTTGCTCACAGCCAAGCAAATGCAGCAATTTCAATAGCTTAATTTGTTATCAATAAGAAATTAAACAGTGCCCTGATATATATATATATATATATATATATATATATATATATATATATCTTGTAATGTACGGTAAAAGAAAGATTCGATGATGTTCATTAATGAGATTAATTTCGTAAGTAGAGTCTAGTGAAAAGAGGGACCTACTGGATAAATAGGAAAAAATCGATTGACTACTTACTTCTTCTACTTCGAAGACTTCTCTAGGAGTGGCGTGCGAAGTACCATTATTCTCATCAGTGAATCCACCAAGCTGTGCCTTGCCATTGACTAGGATAGACCGAGGGTCGTCATTTACATCTACGTGGTGTTCCAGTACGAACACCTCAATGGCGGTTTCGTGCATCCAGTCGCTGATCATTGCTGTGTGTTCGTGTAGATCATAGTCGTAGAGGGCGCTGTGCGGGTTGTCCTAAAGGGATTAACAACATCATTAATACTTGATTCACGGATACAATCTGAAAAAGATTTCAAATCTAGATACTAACTTCCCGACTCACCTGCTAAGCATGTGAAATAAATCGTACCAGGGACAAAGTCAGACTTACGCATGGGATACGACAAGATTTGCTTCAAGATTTTTTGAAAATAATGTTTTAATAGGAATTAATAGACGAATATTTTAAAGGTATTCCACCAGGATTGGAACCCCTGCAATGGGCGTGACTCTATTAATTTGTTTGATTATTATCATCATTATCATCATTATTGTATTTGTATCATCATCATCATCATTATCATCATCATCATTACCATCATCATCATCATCATTGTCATCATCACCATCATCATCACCATCATCATCATCATCATCATCATTATCATCATCATCATCATCATCATCACCATCATTATGCTTACCTCTTCGGGCTCCCTGACGATGAACGGACCGAATAGGCCATCACTCCTCTGGAACCCTGCATGAGCGTGCCACCAGTGGGTACCTGCTCGATCGGCCAGGAAATTATAAGTGAAGGACGCGGATGCTTGGATAGGACACTGAGTGATAAGATTGGCCCCGTCCATGTATGGTGTACCCCGCTGGAGAAGTCCGTGCCAGTGGATCGTGACCCCTTCGGCGTCATCGAGTTCATTGTTGACTTCGACTATGATACGATCTCCTTTGCAAACCTAGAAAATATTATACAGTCAAGCTGCGTTCACATAATACGCCGCGGTTTACCACATCACATTAGACAATTTCAGATTTTCTAGTCAAATTAGTAAAAGTATGTGGAACACAAATTCCAGCAACAATTGCTCCGCAGTCAGGTCCCTTGCTATGCCTAAGTCTAACCGTAAACCTAACCTAAAAGCCAATCCCAACTCGAAACCAAACCCAATATTTTTGACGAAATAAAGCCCGTTGCACAAAACTTACCATTGGTGGTAACTTTGCCATCACCGGTAACTACCGTGGAAACCTTGATTTTGATTGGCTGTTGAGCCCTGTTACCATGGTAGTTGCCATTGATGGCAAAGTTACCATCTTAGGTAAGTTTTATGCAACGGTCCTGTTTTATAAAACTATTTAACAAATGCTAAATTTCTATGACAAATTTGCTCTCAGCAAATCAGATGCCATGATATCAGTAGCTTATAACAGTAGCTTGTAACTTGTTATTGCTATCAAATTTTATGAAACAGGGTCCAGATCAATGAGTGACAGCTTGACCCCTCCAAACTAGCTTACCTCAATCGTAGGGCCAGGCAACTGTCGATTGACCACAGCTATAGGACGACGGAAACCGTCCATCGCAACGCATCGTTCACGTCCGCAGTCGGTCAGGTTGCAAGGGCAGTCGTAACACGCCCTCGACATCGTTGAATACCATTCGACGTTGAAGGTGTATCGACACGTCATCGGTCCCGACGAGTCACATTCTCGAAAACACTCGTGAGTTTCTGTTGGTGCAAAACCGGCCACGAGAAAAAAGATCGAATGAAATACAGACATTCTGGTCACTGAGATGAGTATTAAAAATTTGTTGAAAAATTCATCTTTCGAAATATTTACATTGTATATATTTCTTATTTACCATCCTTTTCACAGTTAAAGAGCTTAATTGTGCCATTTGTAGGCCTATCAAAGTTAGAACTTATTCCAAGAGGTTTAAATAATGGTTGGTGTTATTTTTCATTCTGATACGATGTTCGGTAGTAAACCTTTTATTACTATTCAAGAGAAGTGTAAGCATTTCTTTGTGCAATTATAAAGGACTTAAAATATGATTTGGGACGTCTAAACTTGTTTATAGAAACTCCTATACTCGCCGAAGCTTTCGTTGTTTTAACATAGACTTAACTATTGACCGCACTTCACTTAACTATTGACCGCAAATCTGCATTCTGTACCTAAATTCCTTCTTTTACAGTTCAGGAAAAAAAAGTATACGAACACAAAATATTCTTTTTTGAGATATTGGAGAACTAAGAAGACGAAACACCAAAAGACTTTAAAAGAAACCTCACCCCAAAGAAAAAGTGTAGGTATTTTCACAAGCTAAGATGCATTCCTTGATCCTGCCCTTTGTACAAGAGATACATAAATAAAGATATTCTTGGCATGATGTGATGCATTTTAGCATGACATGGGCGCAACCATTTTCTTGAAAATGTGACGTACCATTTGGAGTTGTACATGTTTTATGTACCAAGCTATAGTTCGAAAGACTTTCTAAATAAATAACAAAAACCTTTACTTTTCATTGAGGAAAAATCATATCTGAGAAGATAAAGAGATTATATTTGGTGAAAAATATATAACTGGGAAACAATGAATTGTAACTAATTCATTTAAAAATACAAAAATATAGCAGCAGACAAATCTATTTCGTTTATAACAAAACTTTTACCCCAGAAGAGCACCAACCTATTTAGGCAATTGGTGTTCTGGCAATTGTAGTACTATACACAGGATAATAGCAGGTAAGTGAAATGCTTCATCACCACACACACCTGGGAAGGAAGCATCCATAAATATAAATACATTTACTTAATAAACGACTTCACATAGTACGTCACGTTATAAAGGCCCTAATTGCACAAATCCATCCTTCATTCTTGAGTTATGAAACACACAACAACAAAAAATCAGAATTATGCTAGGGGTATGAATAATTTCGTTGTTAACTGTGGTCTTAAAGGTTCTGTGTCCCTTTTGCAGCCAACCTCAAATTCTATAGAACTTTGCAGGAATTATGAATATGTCATGTATGTCCTATCTGTGAAATTTAAATGTTAGCAGTGTCCTAATATTCAAATTATGCAAGGAAACCTGTTTACTTGCTAGACTTCACCGTCAGACACTATTGAGTGACTGACTGGCTTTTTCTTCTTTGATAATAACATACATAAAATGAGCTGTAAAGGGTACATGAGCATTTGTCTACATCAATAACCCACTTCTTGTGATGGCCAAAATTAAACTGATTGAATCTTTGCGCAGCATAAAACGTATGACCATTCAGTACAATGGTCTGAAAATCAAGACTTATTACTTATTGGCTCTATAGCTCCTAAGTCGATTTGACAACTAATAGTCGTTATTTTCCCACCTGAAGACATTTTCAAGCCCCACCTTTTCTAGGGAAGTTCTAAATTAGTATTATCTTTCAAATGCCGTTGAAATTTAACCTTTTCATTTTTTGGGCCTACAAATGAGACATAGTACCTTTAATGTAGAGAAAAACGCATTGATGCATTAGTGCATGTCCGTGATCTGTTATGCGTGGGACTGTGTTGGGTTTGAGGGTGCGGGTGTATTTGAGAGAGAGAGAGAGACAGACAGACAGAGACACATATACAGAGACACAGACAGACGGAGAGACAGAAAAAGAGAAAGAAAGAATGTGAGATAGGGAGGGTGGGATTGAAATGAGATAGATACTGACGTGTAGCAATGAGAGTGTCTTTATTTAGAAGGAGGGAATAAGAGAGAATAATGAGGTGAAAGAGATAAAGAGAGGGATAGAGAGCGACAGAAATATTAAGAGAAGGTAAAGGACGAGAGAAGAAAGAAACGAGAGAGAGGGAGAGAGAGAAAGAGAGAGAGAGAGAGAGAGAGAGAGAAGAGAGATTGAAGATATGTAGACAGATACTGAGTCGAAATACGAAAAGGGTACATACATTAATGTTTCTTTTTTGAGAGAGTGAGGGAGAGAGAGAAGGGCACAAAAGGAGAGAATGATAGAGAGGGGAAGAGAAAGAATAAGAGAGGCAGACAATAAGAAAGAAAGAGAGATAGATATAGGGGAAGATACAAAGAAAGAGAGAGAGGGTGCTCTGAGTGGGGTGGATAGTAACGTACCTCTGACAGGTGAACCCAATGTCAATTGATCGAACGTTCCTTCTCCCGAATCCAAAGTTGCATTTCTGATACACTGATCTGAAAAAGACAAGAATTAAGATAAGACAAGTTTAAAATTAGAATTTCGCTTACAACGATTTGTAGAATGCCTCATATCCTTTTGAAATATAGTTATTTTCAGCAAAAATTTATATTTCAAATGTATAATTTTGGCTGACTTCATACATCTTGGTTGACAGATAATTTCTTTTGTTTAGAAGTCCACCAGAGCAAAGATTAAGTTGATTTCATTCGCTATCCTCGGAATTCATACCCATTACATTGTGTTAAACTTTAAAGTGATGATTAAAACAAATGCTTCTCATTATTCTTCTCATATTTATTTTTCTTTTTTCTGCGGGTGAGGAAGGGGGTGATATCTTTCCCTTCAAATTGTCCTCATTTGGTCGGTCCCTAAACTATGAACTATAAATGACACTGACTTTCAATATGATCATCATCGTGGTTAGTATTTTGTGCTGATTCACAGAACATTTTTTTTCCAAACCAGATACAGGCAGACATTAGTAAAAGAAAGAAGAAAAAAAAATCAGTTTCAAATCGCATTCATGCTATTGTTAGGAGAAACACAAACGTTATCCGTGATTGCACATCAATGATAGGGATGAGCAATTATTTGGGATTGTTCAAGGGGTATGGTTTTGTTCAAGGATTCTAAGCTCGTTGAACAAACGTTCGGCTTCTTTTCAGTGTCATCGCCAAAAAATCTGTAAACACATTTTAATTTAACCCATTGCAGTTCAAGGTTATTTAATTGTCTAACTGAATCAGCTTTTCATCCTCAAAATGGCAATAATTGGTTTTTATTAAAACTCTTTCAGAAATGTAACTTTATTGTGCGTTACCGATTTACAGACTTAAATGATTATTATCCGTTAAATTGCTCTTATTTATGTTTACTGCAAGAGAAACCGTACTCATATTTATGTTAGCAACAGTCGTAATAATTAACACTCTTTCATAGTTTGAAAAATAATTTTCATATGAAATTTAGTTTTAAAAAGTGTAAATGAAAATGTAAAAAGATCAACAAGAATTGTCGATTTGCATACGAAAATTGTTGTTATAAAATTGACTCTGCGTTGCCAGACTTCAATAATTATTTTCCATTAAACCGCCCTCATTCATGACGGAAAAATATACTGCAATATAAATGTACTCATATTTTCCAGGGATTTCTGCACTTTCCGCTTCTGTACAATATGTTATTCAGTGCATTCTGGATCAAAAGAAAAAATCTAAATGTTACTGAAAGGTGGCCCGAAACTTGTAATCATTATAACGCATCTGAACTTTAATCCCACAATTTAGATAAAAGTCTATCTTGGACTTTTAATTAAATTTGATTTAATTTCTTTACTATATAAAAATAAATGGGGCAATTTCCCCTTTTTTAAACATTAACTTCAACTCTTAATGTTGTAAAACGTTCTTACTTCTACCAATAAAAGAGAATTATTTACTTTTCGTGGTAGTTATCTTATACTATACAGTCAACATGTCCATGCATGTTGATTCCACCCAAGGGAAATGGAGAAATTGACCACTGTAGACATGTGGTCCTTTTACACAGGTTCTAAAACATAGATTTCCTCTCCTACATAGCCACTATAGACAGGTGACCATCGCAGCGAGGTGGTCACTAAGACATGTTTGAGTTGACGTATATTCTTCCAACGAATTGGAACAGGTTTCTTGAAACTGTTATCGGCGTTTGACGATTTACTCGAGTCAAGAAATTATAATTTAAAATAGACTCATCTTGATTCAGTTGTCAAAACCCTGACATCCATCACAAACTTGATTCTGATGCACTGTGTTGGATAAAGTGAATTTTTAAATTCAGTTCAGGGACATAATCCGTCATTGTGAAGAAACGTGGTATATATATGTTTTACCAATGTGCTTTGTAGTTTCATTCATCTGGTTTGAAACGTGTTTTTATAATAATTATATCAACACAATGTTTTTTATATGCACTTATTGCGAAAGAAAATCCGCTAAAATAATGTTAAAATTGTGACCACATTTATATTGGTAAATTTTATTTTATCTTTATTTTTGTAAATGTGTTGCCAACGCTGATGTTTCCCTTTAACAACTCCCAAGCATTAATTAGTCTAAACATGGCACGTGATATCGGGGCTTGAAATCTGTGTCTCATTGTATTTTTCCTCGGTGATACCCTATTACCAGAACAATACACCCATTTAAATGTGGGGATTATGGTTACATGATTGTGATTCAATATTTAATTACGACTTTTTCATGTTGCATGATACCATTTTCATTCTCAGTCACCCCTTTTATTCCTCTTTGTCTCACTGTCTCCCTCCCTCTCTCTGTCTCTCTCTCTCTCTCTCTTTCTGCATGTCTCTCTCTCTCTCTCTCTCTCTCTTTCTCTCTCTCTCTCTCTCTCGGTCTCTCTCTCTCTCTATATATATATCTCTCTTTCTTTTTGCAGTCTCTCTCTCCCTCTCTTTATCTCTATATCTATATTTCTCTATATGTGGTTAAATTCTCTCTCTCTCTCTCTCTCTCTCTATTCGTTGATGAAACGTATTTGTTGGTATTGGAGCGCCATGAGCACCACGACTTGACGGACATACAGGAGACCATCAATTTCTTTATGTACACTCTAAAAAAAAGATACCCAATATTGGGTAAAATTTTACACTTTACGAGGGTAAAAAGGGAACATGCATGTTTGTTGGGTAAAATTTGACACAGGGGTCGTTGGGTAAAAATTTACCCAGCAAATGTTTAATGTTTTACCCAACTAATGTGCAATATATTTGACCCCCGGCCCCCCCACTCAGAGGTCGGAATGACCGCATGCGTGTTGCCAAAATGTCCGGTAAAGGGGTACTTTTCGTGCGACAAAGTCCGGCCCGAGATTTGTAAAAAAAGGGGTGTATTTGACTTTTCACCCGGAGATTTCTTTAAAAAGGGGGTGTTTTTCTTTTTCTCTCTCATCTCTTTGGACTCCTGAGAAATTATTCCGAATTTAGGGGGGTACATTGAGAAATTTTCCGAATTTAGGGGGGTACATTGAGAAATTTTCCTAATTTAGGGGGGTCTCCAAGGCAGGAAAAGCCCGCGAAAAGCCCGCGAAAGGGGGGTTCGGAAATGTTGGCAGTCCTCAGATAGGGGGTGCTTTCAAAAAGAGGGTACGAGCATATGCGTACCCTAAATAACACTGAGTGGGGGGGCCGGGATTTGACCCAATGTAAAAGGTAAAATGTTACCCAACGACAACCATGTTCCCTTTTTGACACAACATTGGGTATTTTTTACCCAAATCATCCTGGGTACTCGTTTACTTTGTTCTTGTGTATTTTTTTACCCACAATTTAGGTAAAATTTTAACCCAACCTTATTGTATGATTTTTTATTTCTAAAAAGAAAATTTGTTCGAGGAGTTGGCTGGAAAAGTACATGCTATATGTAATGTAGTGTATAAGTAGCAGACCTCTCTCTCTTTATCTTGGCTCGACAGTCTTTCGCTTGGCGTGCTAGCAGTAGGTGACTGCATCGCGGATGACATTCTCCATACGAATAATGTGTTTACACTCATTCATGCAAATAAATGCTGCGGAAAGACAAGAGTGCATGATCGTAGTCTATTTCGAACAAAGTCGTCCATCCTCTGTCGATTTTGAACACGATTAATTCGATGAACAGCTGAATCGGAACGACCGACCACGCTAGCGCTTCAATCATAGTTTTTAACATCAGTTGTGTCATAATACCAACGTTTAGGTGTCAAAACTTGTGTTTACCCAACGCGGGGTTCCAATATTAATCTGCATCGCTACTTTCTTACCCCGGAAATGCGCACAGTCGAATTTTGATATGACACTATGGCAAGTGTAATGACATTTCGAAGGGACTTGGTGTTTGGCACAAGGGTGGGTAATACTTTACCCAACTTTTTTAAACAGCAATTTTGCACAGCAAAATTTTGCAATCTATTTTTATATCCTCATCTTTCTCTCTCTCTCTCTCTCTCGCTCTCTCTATCTCTCTCTCTCTCTCTCTCTGTCTCCTCCATCTAGAGTCGATCTCTACCTCGACCTTAAACTTAAAAAAACAATCTGAATATAAGTAAAGAAGATTTTGGTTTTAATTGTAAATATTCACAAGGCATAAGCGTTGCTTATCTTATAGCCCTGATTCTATTTAGAATACGTTTATACTATTCTTAATACAAAAGTTATTATGTTCACATTCAGAACTGAAGAAATTAAAGAAAATGAAATAATATAAAAATAACAGGAGCCAACGAATTTGTCCAGGGAGCGGTGTCTTTGCTGGTCATGCCAGGTATTAAACCCAGGCTTTCTGTTTTAGGAGGACATGACCCTATAACCACTGGGGCGCCGATACAGGCTAGTGCTTTTTGGCATAACGAGACTCTCGCGATCAGACAATGTTTATGATGGTTACAATATTTGCGGTAATACCCAGTCACACCTGAAAAGTCTGCCACCAAACTGACAATCAGTTGACATATTATCATTTGATAATATGTTCATATTATATTTATTCTTGGGAACCTATAAAAACGAGCTTTGCTTTCCAGTAGGTTCCTGTTTCATTTCATAATTTTGATCTTACTTTGTCAACTATGTTCTTTCTTGTGCACACAATTGTTATATGAAATGAAATAAAATCAATCAATCAATCATTAACAACATTTTTTAAATATCATTAATATCACCGTCACACCACCAAATCGACTCCACGCCGACTTCAGACCGACAGATTTTGGCCATTAACGGTAATGTCATTTGTTTTTGTATGGTCTGTAGTCGGCTCATTTGTGTGACAGAGGTATATTTGTAAATAATCAGCCGGTTCGAAGTCACTTTGGAGTCTTTTTGGAATCATTTTGTATTTGGTTTAAAGTCTTTTATTTGTGATGTGACTGAGGCATTTCATTCAATTATTGTCAGGGACAGAGGAGCATCAGAATGACAAACCACTTGCAGCGTATCTACCCATGCGAAT